GTTTGTCGCGAACCCAGCTCATGCTTCGGTGGGTTTGAGACAAACCCAATGTGCACGCGCACATGAGTTCGTGACGAACTCAGCTCGTACTCGGGTTCGCGATAAACCCAGCATGCGCTTGGGTGGGTTCACGATGAACCCAACGCACGCCTGGGTGGATTTGTTGCAAACCCAACACTTAGGAGCATGCTTGGTTCGTTGCGAACCTAGGAAGCCAGGAGCGCGAACCTAGGTCTATGCTTGGGTGGGTTCGTGATGAACCCAACAAAGGAAGAAAAAGAAAAAAGCTAGAAGGGTGAAGATGTTGATGTTGACTCAAAAATATGTCCAAATCATTTTTTTTACAAAGTGAATTTTTCACATTACACAATTTCGTTAATTAACTGTCACTTGTCAAAAAATTTAATGAAGGAATAAAAAAGAGGTTGGATTTCAATCTTTAGGGACTAAACAAGAGATTTTTTCAATATAGGGATAAAAAAAAGCTTTTTTCAATAGTAGAGGAACTAAAAATGATATTTACCCTAAAGAAAACTTACTTGGTATTGTAAAAAAACCACAAAATTTTAATTATGATTTCTGGTAACTTGTTTCTTTATTATACTTTGGTTACAAAATCAATAAAATTGATAATTAGTTAACTTATTAAGGAAATATTAATAAAAAATATTATTAAAATAGGTATGAAAAACTTACTTATTTTAAAGTGATTTATTCTTTTATGAAAAATAAATTTATCAATGCAACAAAAATATAAATAGTGTTTTCTGAGTCAGAAATTACTTGTGACTTAATTGGACAAAAATATAAATAGTATGTTACTTTAGAATGTTATAACTTCATAATAACATTTTATGAATATATACTATATGTAGAATCATTTAATTCAAAATACATTTCTTTATGAAATAATATTGTCAAAATAAAGTAACAATAGAAATTTGAAAAATGTGAAGGACCACTCTATTTTGAGAAAAGTAACTTATTCTATTTATAGGATTTTGGTGTTGTAACTCTTATTTTTAAATTAATTATAAGAATGAATTAAGAAATTATTTTGAAATTTTAAATATTTCATTAATTATTAAAATTTTAAATTAAATTTTAATTAAATGAAACAATGTTGGGATTTTAATTTTTACTGGAGTTAGAACTGCTCTCTATATATATATTTGCTTCAGTTACATTGTGGATTAGCCTCGTACTGACTAATATGACTTTTTCTTGACTTGGCTCATCTCAGTAAAATGTGCCGTAGTAGGTTCTATGCATCTGTCCTCTTCGTTCTTCCCTTAAAGACCATTCTATAATCTATTTTCTTATTTTTGTCCTTTTAAGCTTGATATTCTATGGAAGATCTTGAAAGCTACTTCTTTTTTGACTGCTTCATTTTTTCTTTCTACTTAAAATCAACTTACTCTTGTACAATGGAACATCCACTACAATTTCCTTACAATAAACAACTCAAAGCCTTCTCCAAATAGCATATAATGATCTATTAATATACAATTCGTTCTACGCTGTGGTCTATAATTTTTTCCATCCATCTTCTGAAAAGTATTTCTTATGATATATTTTAATATTTTTTAATTTCTTGTGACCTTTATCTTATTTCCCTTGTTATAGATTATGTATTTTTTGTTTTATACCATTCTTGGTGCTGAGGACATCCGGGCTTTTAATGCCCTGTTGGAAACATGCTAGAGGCATGCTACTAATGCTTTGTTATGTTTTGTATACCATGGTAAAATTTGCACTTTGTTTTTCCAGTCTTGAGATAGGTAATGGATAGCAATTTAAGTTAAAGCTATATATTGATAAAGAAAATTTTATAGTAATGGTTAATGTGACAAATCTTGGAGGTTGGTCAGATTGATGTTACTGCTGTGGCAATAGCAAATTATTGATTCTGAAGTTGATATAATCATGGTAGAAAAGCTGGTGATTTTTATGGCTGCCTTAAACAAGGTGTCCAAGAAAACTAGTAGTAGGTTTTTGGCAGGTGTTAGTGGAGATGTTGGGTTGCTTGTCTCTGGTGTTATGGCCATAGAGTTGGTAAATGACACCGTGGTTTTAACTATTCCAGTGATGTGTTAATGCTGGTGGTATGAGAAATTCTTCATGTTGCCTGTTTTCCACCTCTAGTGCAAAGCTCTCTAGGATGTGCCTAAGCCTTGGACTAAGAGTGTTTGTTTAACAATGCAATAATATACTATACTTAACATTATTATACTCATACAGCTTAAATTGACAATCAAGAATTTGTAAGAGCACATTATAACATGAGCCCTACTCATGCATGGTCTTTTATTTTGTGCTTGTTTGTAGTTCCATAATGCTCTCTATGGGGATGCTAAAGGTCGGGCTAGGAGATTTATGTCTTTTCTGCATTCATATGTTCCTGGGGTCATGAACCCTCATGCCAAGGTTGTTCAACAATGGAACCAGTTTTTTGTCATTTCATGCTTGGTGGCAATCTTTGTGGACCCATTGTTTTTTTTGTTGCTGTCTACTGAGAAGGTTAGTTACTCTTGTTTTGTACTTGATAAATAAAAGTTTTATTCTTCCTATTTTATTTTCCCACTTCATATCCCCTAGTTGGTCTCATTCTCACAAGCTTGGTAACTGGACATTTTCTTTGCAATTACTCTCATTATTCACTTTACTTCTGCACAAAAATACTATATGATTTTTGTACATAGTCTTTTCAAAAACAATATTAACACCAAGGGTCATGTTTGGTTCAATGGAATGACTATATTCCATGCTTGCTACATAAAAATAAGGTAAATCTAGAGAGAAATGTGACTAAATAGGAATTGCTATTCCATGATTGTTACATATTTTCTTTTAAAAACTTGAGCTAAGGTGGTAACAACTAAACCCTACGGAAGAAGTGGTAATTGCTAAATCCTTATCGCTATCACTGGCTTATTCCTGCTCATTAGAGAAAATAGATAACTGAGACTTCTCTTTGAATTTTAATCATTAAGTTTCTATCATTTTGACAACCGTGGCCTACTTTTGATTTGTTGTATCTTCTCCATTTTGTTTATTTTCTAAATGCTACAATCTTCAGTTATCAAACTTGCTATACCAAACAAATTCAAAAACTTGTTATACTAAACAAAAATTGTTAATTTATCACTCTATATTTTTCTTGCATTATTTTTGAATAGTTTTAGCTGAAAAAAAAATATAAGAGCTTAGATTTTGTGGCCATTTATTAAAGTTCCATATTCTTATTTATGTTGTTGGCTTCCTCTGGATTTATTTGTTAGTGCAGAAAAATAAATGCATAGTTATTGATTGGCCCATGACTACAACACTTGTGGTATTTAGAAGCATAACAGATATTATATACCTGCTTAACATGCTTCTTCAGGTAAAACAACTTCTCCTCCTCCTTTGAAATGTTTCTATTGTCCTAATGTATTCCCATCTTTCTTCCCCTCCAACTGCTACCCTTTCCTTGTTTTCATATTTGTTTCTCTCAGAAAAAAATTTTCATTTTGCAAATTTCATAACTATTTCATTGCGATTTCCATATATTCAATCAGTGAAGAAACCTGAGAAAATATTTCTATTTTTTCTTTACATAATAATCTTATCTTTCTCCCCTTCAGCCTCTGCACTCTCCCCTTGTGTTTTTTCTCCATTTTTTCCTTTTGAACATTCTACTTTCAGTTCAGAGCATTTTTTCTCAGCAATTTCATGTTTATTCTCATTGCAACTTTAATGAGAGAGAGGATTAGAGTAAATTGTTACTGGTATCAGGTGCCCCCATCTATCAGAGGTTGAAAAATAAAAAATTCAAAAGGAGGATCCTTTGATACCTTAAATAGTGTCTGTTGAGGAATTGATTTTTTTTTTCCTTTTTCCTTTTTTTAGGGGGAGGTGTGGTGGAGAAGAAATAGTGCAGTTGTTAGAGAAAAAGTCATGTGTTGATTGTTAAAAATAAGCAAAGTAGTGCAAAAATGAATAGATGAATAGATATGAAATGAATAAATTACATGTTTCATTTAAGTTGCCATTATAATGCTTCCCTGTGAACATTACCCTCCAGGATTACCAATAATGGCTTTGACTTTCAGCTTAAATCATATGCATTTTTTATATGATTTAAATAGGTTAAAATTGACTGTGTTGGTAAAGAGACATAAAGGTAGTATTTTGATCTTTACCCTTTAGTGTGGTTGGTCCTCTTATTCACAGCTTTGGCTAAGTTTTTTCTCTTCCATTTTGACCAATATTTATTGTTTCTTCCATGTACAGTTCAGATTGGCTTATGTAAATCCTGAATCTAGAGTGGTTGGTACTGGGATGTTAGTTGACCATCCAAAGATGATTGCTACAAATTACCTTCGTGGATACTTTGTCATTGACTTGTTTGTGGTATTACCACTTCCACAAGTAAGTTCATATTGTTCGTGTTCTTCCATCACAACTTCCTGTCCCTCTTGCACTCTATAAAAGATGTTTTATCAATAGACTCAATGAGTAGGTGTCTTAATACTTGGAAGTGAGCTCAGACCTCACTGGTGTCCTGGCTTTTCCACTTTAAACCTGTTTCTTCATAACAACTCAAATTTTTTCATTTATATATTTTTAACTTTGTAGTTGAATAATGTCTTTGGCAGATAATGTTTGATATTGATAACTTACCTAATTATTTAATTAGTTTCAAAGGGTCATAGATGTTAACCTTCCCAATTCCTGGACTCCAATCTGGGAGCTTGAACTACCTCACTATTCAGGTTTTCTCTTTCTTCTAATTTACAACATATGTGCCAACAGAATCTTTTCAGAAAGATCTTCTATAAGCTATAAACATTTTTACGTAGAAAATGATTACCAGAAATAAAATCCAAAACTTGTTGCGTGTTTACTTACTGATCAGCAAATCTAGATGGATTAGAAATCCTGTATGTTTATTGGGACTTGTTTGGCTGACTGTGAATCCAAAATTTGAGTATAATATAAAGCGACAGGCACTGAAACATGTATTCTGCAAATTTTTGCCCTTTGGATTGGAAAAGAAGTTACTCCTTAGCTAATTGCATGAGTTTGAATCCCTATCCTTCATCTCAAATTTAACTAACTAGTTTGCTAAAATCCAGTCATGAAATTGTTCTCTAAGTCTATCTATCCATTAATAGTTACTTTTTTTGTGTGTGCATTTGTATCTGCCATGAAATTTTTTCCTGAAGTCCCATCTCACCTGATTCTACATGCTTTATTTTGAGGGCAATCATGCTGTCATTCTGATGTTTTGTTGTCATGAATTATTTCCTATATTCACACAGATCATTATTTTATCAGTCCTGCCAAAGGTTTTGGGGTTTTCTGGGGCAAATATTGCAAAAAATCTTCTACGTGCGGCAATTCTTTTTCAGTATATCCCCAGACTGTATAGATTTCTACGTCTGCTTGCTGGCCAATCTCCAAGGGGTTTCTTGTTTGAGTCAGCATGGGCGAATATTGTCATAAATCTTCTAACGTTTATCTTGTCTGGCCATGTTGTTGGTTCATGCTGGTACCTCTTAGGATTACAGGTGGGAAAAGTTTGTTTCAAACTTTTAATGTTGAAATATATTTTTACACTTTTCTCTCATTAACATTTTCTGCATTGTACGGAATTGCTTTTATTAACTCTGTTTATTTGCATTTTCTTTGTATTCTTCAGTTTCCTGAATTATTTCATGATACATCTAAAAGTAAGTTCTCACCTATCAGGATAACAAGTGGCTCATAGATTTCTGGTTTAATTAATGATAGTTCAATACAATCAAAGTTGTTGATAAAAACAAATAATCAAAAAAGTACATGTCAATGTTCTAATGACTCCTTGAACTATCCTTTTTTTAGATAACATGGTTATTTGGATCTTTAGGCCAACCAATCCTATGGATATTGGTAAACCACTTTGTCCACAAATATTGGGTAAAGCTCCAACTTTAATGGTGGTGGGCGTGGTGGAAATGTTCATACCCAAATGGTGTTGGAGGGATTCAAACCTATATTCTTAATGTGCTTCAAATCACTCCTTAGCCATTTGAGCCAGCCCCAATTGGTTGACTCCGTGAACTCTCATTTGATTCTGACATGGAAAATGTTTTATAATTTGAGGCATTTTAGTAAATTAGAAATATTGTAATTCTTCTTTCCCTTTTCTCGACACACACACATACAGTTATGTGCCCATCTGCCTTACCTACTATGAAGTAGGAGGAAAACTACTTCAAAATTACTTTTTTTTTTGCTGAACTAAAATTACATTGTTTCAATAAATTCTCATCGAAAATACTAAAATAATCTATTTTTAAAGTTTGAGTTAGACTTTTTTTGTCTTTTCTCATGGTGCTTTAATGAAATGACATAGGTTTTGGGTAATTTTCCTCTTACTTTTTAGAAGTTAAGGGTATGAGCACTAATTGCATATATAGATATATATAGATAAATAGATATAGAGTAGGGATCCACTTACACACCAAGTGTTACACACCACACTCACACAAAATCTCAACCATTCATCTCTCCACTTTCAATAATTGAGATTTATTCGCATTTATTAAAGATAATTATCTTTTTCATCTAAAAAATCATGATAAATCTCAACCAATGAAAGTGAAGAGATGAATGGTTGAGATTTTGTGTGAGTTTGGTGTGTAAAATGTGTGTAAATGGATCCCTCTTATATATATATATACATATTTGTTTACACATAAGTTTTATACACCAAATGTACACAAAATCTCAACCATTCATCTCTTCACTTTCAATGATTGAGACTTATAACAACTTTTTAGATGAAAAAGATAATTATCTTCAATAAATGCAAATAAATTTCAACCATTGAATTTGGATAGATGAATAGTTGATATTTTGTGTAAATATGATGTGTAAGTTGGATCTGTACTCATATATATATATGTTGATCAAGTAAACGTCATTGCATACTCAATTTGATCTCTTTTGACATATAATCTCTTTCTTTCACTTTTTGCAGAAAACATTTCATACTTGCTTCTTTTGTTTTAAATAGCAGTCTGTTTCTTTTCCCATTTCTACCAGATACTGTATCTCAGTTTTAACATAAAAAGCTTCACCACGCTTGAATTAAATGCTCAAAAAAGTTGTGAATCTGTTGTTTCCAAAAGAATTTGTTCATTTTATGGAGTATCACTAAGCTCATTAAGGCTAGAGAATATTTTACTTTTGTAATTTTTTAGCCACGTGTTCTCTATGTCTGTTAATGGTTGTTCCATTATAACTTGCATATTCTTGCTTAACTGTTTAGTGTTTTGTTTATTTGTTTTATTTATTTATGATTAATTGCTTAGAGTTAGGAACTGTTTTTTGCATACAGAGGGTTAACCAGTGTCTCCGAGATGCCTGCCATGACTCTGGAATCAAGGATTGTATGAAGTTTATTGATTGTGGGAATGGAATTATCAATTATGATTCAAACCAATGGAGGGGGAATTGGAATAGCTATGGAAAAGCTGCTGCTTGTTTTACAAAAGATGAATTTGACTACGGAATATACGTCAAAACTGTCAACCTTACTACAGATGGAAATATCTTTACTAGATATACGTACTCTTTCTTTTGGGGATTCCAGGTAACATTTTATAATATCTTAATTTTGGCCACCCACAGAGTTGCATTTATTATATTCTCCTATTCATCAGCATTTAGCCAAAAAATTCCTTTTTTTTTTGGGGGGGGTGGTTGGGGGCTGGGGGCGCAAGATTTAGACAAAAAATTCATACGACTACTTTCTTCTACTAACTTCAATAGCCTTGAAATGTAATCCAGACTAGAGATCAAGGATCGAAACAATTATGGTCTAATTTAATAGGAGCTCTCAGATCTACTCTAATCTAGTCTATATATGTTTTGCTTTCAGATTTCTTTGCATTTTTGCAGTGCTGTAAAAAGCATGCCTAGGCACTAGGTGGCAGGCCGCCACCTCACCTAACCATTAGGCAGTGGACTTGGGTGTTTAGCTCCACCTAGAGTGCCTGAGTGCACCTAGCTATTATTATTTGCCAAAACAATGAAAAAGGTGTGGGCACACCTAGGTGTCCTTGGCACTAGGCAGTGGGGTAACACCTCACCACTACCTGGCACTTTCTACAACACTGATTTTGTGCTGAATATTTTTTTAAATATCTTTGTCTTCTGCTGTTTAAAGAGACTTTTTATGCATTATTCTTTTTTAGCCATCATAGATAGCTCTTCTTGAGTAACTGAGTTTTTTAAAATCTTACCTACATTTTTTTGGTTTTTAAAAGCGTAGCTTCATGCATAACCTCAATCAAAAGGGGCCCAATAGTATACTGTTCCAGTAACTTTCAAGTATATGTTTCTTCATTCTGTTGGGTCTTGTGCAATATGAATCATGTCACTCATTTGTTCTAGTGGATTGGTTGATGCACTCTGTGCATGAGTTTAAAATGACTTCTTCTGCATCTTGTCCTGCATCATGCCAGTTATATTTCATGGATAAAATCAATTTTTTTCTTTTCTTGCAGAGGAGTTTGTCTTCCATACTGATTTTTAACTTTTTCTGAAAACTTGTTTTATTATTTAATTTTCAGTTTATGTAGTGTATAGCACCCTTATTATAGAAGAAATAATCCTTATGTTCCTCGGATATTAGGATTTGCTTGTTTTTAGATCTCCCATCCTCTTATGAACAATCAATTGAATGTGGTGAAATTGATAATTCATCAATCTATAACAAGTGAAAGTTATTATTTTGTTCATTTGATTTAAGTATCTTTTCTGACAGATTAAATATTAACATAAAGTACAGAAAATCATAAACTAAATATTCATGCTACTGACATTACATTTGTTTGTTAACTTAATGAAGCAAATCAGTACTCTGGGTGGAAATCTAGCTCCAAGCTACTTTGTCTGGGAAGTTCTTTTTACCATGACCATAATTGGACTTGGCCTCTTGCTTTTTGCCCTTTTGATTGGAAATATGCAGAATTTTCTCCAAGCAATTGGGCGCAGGTAAATGTTTTTACTGAGTTTTTTGTGTTTGCTCAAACTTCAAATGTTTTACTGACATACATTCAGCACATATCTGGTATTTTGGTATAACAATGAAGCATCTGGCCTAGTTTGAGCTATATCTACCATCCTTCTATTCATATGTTATTCTTGACTTTGTTGTAACTATTAGGGTGGCCAACCAGCTCAAAGTTCAGTGGATCCCTGTTGCATGTCACCATATAGTTATCAAAGAAGTCTGAAATAGGATTTATGGTTTGGGACACATTGCACAAAAGTTTATGAGAATGTGATTATTATTAGGACATGATTATCAAAAGACTAAAATGGATCTTATTGGATTAAGATAGTAGATGTCCCAGTAGAACATCTTTAAAATAGCTGCAAAAAAGTTGCGAAGTTCTACTGGAAATATCTGAGTCTAACAGCATCACTTCATTTTTCAATACCCTTCTCTGAAACCTGGTTGTCAAACTTTGATAGGACCATAAAATTTGACCTATATGTTCCATTTCACTTTTCAAGAAATTATTCACTGGAGTGTATTAGATCATACTAAGGTTAGCAATACCCACACTTAGTTAAAGGAAGGTCAACCATAGGGTCTGCAAGACTAGGAAGCCATATGCTGTGAGATTGAAAAGAAAACTTTTCTCTTCTTCTTCCACCCACCCCCTCCCCCCCCCCTTTTTTTTTTTTTTGTGCCAAAACAAAAGCTGCTTTACAACCAGCAAAGACAAGTTATCTATTCAAACTAACTATATGCTTATTGATTTTTTTCTCATTCTAGGCGGTTAGAAATGACACTAAGACGCCGTGACATCGAGCAATGGATGAGCCACAGACGTCTGCCACAGGAACTTAGGAGGTATTTGATTTTCATTTTCTCTTCTCCATTTTTCTCTTTATGTCATCATATTTATAATTTATTTTAGATATAACCCTCTAACTAGTTTAATAATTCGAAAATTGTGTTTGTCTAGACAACTGCAATTGCTGTCAATACCTTTTCTTTTTAAGAGTATCAGATAATGGTGGTATAAATTCAAGCCACATTTTGATAATGTAATATTAGAAATTGAAAAAGCATTTCTGATGCATCTATGGAAAAATAAATTTATTTTAAATATAACCTTCTGACTAGTTTAACAATTTGAAGATTGTATTTTTCTAGACAATTGCAATTGCAATTGCTGTCAATACCTTTTCTTTTTAAGGAGTATTAGATAATGGTGGTATAATTCAACTCACATTTTGATAGTCCAACATTAGAAAAGCATTTCTGATCCAGTAATGGAAAAGTGGATCAGATTGAACTATATGTTAGGGTTAATGATAATGCTGTTCCTACAATCTGATTGGTTGATTTTCACAAGGTTGGGACCTTTTGTTAGGAAAGTTACCATCTGTTAATTGCCACCAGGGATGAGGGCAAAAAAAATAAAAATAAAAAAATAAAATAAAAAAAAAAATAAAAATTGCCACCTTATATTGTGAGAATTTGTTGTAGAGTAGCAGCATTACTGTAGGTTAATTTATAATATTTATAATTTCATTAATTTACCATAATCTGGAGATTATTTTTGCAGTTTTTATGTAATTTTATGATCCATAGATAATTAAGTTACTGGAGTATTATTTTTGCTTATCATTACAAGTGGAATTTAATTAGGGTTAATCATCTTTAGCCAAATGAAAGTAGTTACTCCTTGATTCTTCTTTTCTGGCCATATAAAATGACTTGGATTTTTTTAGACTTCAATTACTTTCTATTAACTTCACACCTTACATTTTGTTTTTAACTTATTTTATTTTGTAAAAAAGCATTTATTTTATGTAATTCTTATATTGCTTTGTGACCATCAGGAACCCTTTCACCTAAAAGCTTAAGTTGTATGGTTCCCAAAAATAGTATAATCTAAACACGCGACCTCACCTGAAGCCCATTAGGCTTAAAACTTGCAAAAAGTACCCTACATATGCAGAAGCACCTTTTTAAAAGCTTAAGTTGTCAAGGGAGGACTCAAGAATGGTATTTATCTTAATAGTGACAAAATTATGACTATGAATCGAATTTGAAGTTTTCAAACACAGACCATCAAGAGCTTAGCCAAGTAGTACCTTTTCCGTCAATGTCTTGAGTTTAAGCCTCTGCAGCTAAGCAAATTAAACTAACTAATTTTCCAATAAAAATGGTTCAACACTTCTAACACATTGGTCAGCAAATTTTTCTGCTTATCCTTGCTTGATATAATTGTGGTATTATGATTTATCGTTTGAGAATTAATACATGAAAAATGATTGTTGTGCAGGAGAGTAAGAGAAGCTGAACGATATAATTGGGCCACCACCAGAGGGGTAAAGGAAGAGATACTTTTTGAGAATTTACCTGAAGACCTTCAAAGAGATATAAGACGCCATCTCTTCAAATTTGTAAAAAAGGTAATGTGTGTGTGTCAGACTTACATATATGTAAACCCTTTGACCTGGTAGAACCAGAGACAAATGGAAGTTAAATGGTTGAAAACTTTGTATTGCTCTTTGCACAGCTCATTCTTTACCTTATACATTTGTTAAAAGCTTCAGTTATTTTGTGTCTTATGCAATCTGTACCACGGAATCTTTGCCAGCAAATGCTATAGTTAGCAGAAATGATACATACACACTTCATAGGGCATGAACCCATATATGGTATCCGCGAAGATATATTTTTGAAGTATGATTAATGATACCACTTGAATTTATATGCTTTTTACATAATACTTTTTGGCCAGCAATTATATGCTTTCTAAGATAACTGGAAAGTGCTTCCTTGTTTAGGTTCGAATTTTTGCCCTGATGGATGATCGTATTTTAGATGCTATCTGTGAGAGACTACAACAAACGACCTACATCAAAGAAAGTATAGTTTTATGTCCTGATAGTCTTATTGAGAAGATGTTTTTAATTGTGCGTGGAAAAATGGAAAGCATTGGGGAGGATGGTAGCAGAGTTCCTTTAGCTGAGGGGGATGTTTGTGGTGAGGAACTTCTCACATGGTGTCTTGAGCATTTCTCAGTTAACAGAGGTATAAGCAGAATTCAACTTCTACAGTGAACTATTTTTTGGTGCATAGACATGGTACATGCATAAAATTTTTCTCCAGGTTGACTAGCCAAACTCTAGCACCAGTTCTTTTTGCCATGCTTTTAAGATTTAACTAAGGGCGTGGTTTCTGTGGCAGATGGAAAAAGAATCATGATTCCTGGACAACGGTTGCTTAGCAATAGAACAGTACGATGTTTGACAAATGTTGTAGCATTTTCCCTTCGAGCTGCAGATCTCCAAGAAGTTACCAGTCTTTTCTCCAGACTCTTGCGTAACCCTTGCGTTCAAGGAGCCATAAGGTTTTTTTCCTCTTTTTTTTTTTTTTTTGCAAATACCTATCTTGATGCATAACTATACTCTTGTTTATACTATTTTATCATGAAAATATTTTGGAATCCTACCTCTGAACCACAAAGGTTTCAAACAGAACCCTCAAACCACCCTTGCCGGATGGGCCAAGTCTTCCTGTTTAGGGGTTTTGGTTGAAAACAATGATCAAAACGTTGTCCTCCAAAAGAAAAAAAAAAAAAACGGAATCTAAGACATTGTTAATAAAGGAAAGTAAAGAAAACCCTAAATAAAAGGAACTCTAATAAAAGTTTTAGGAACTAAAAATCAAGATTCAGGAACTAAGTTACAAAGGGGAAATGTGAAGACACCTCCTTTGCCAACCAAGGTTGTTCTTAGATTTATGTCATGGTTAAAGCAGACAGTTTTTCAAGCAAAACAAATACACAAAATATTATGTGCAATTGAACAATGACATGTTCTCCTGGAAGTGGCTTTCTGATCGAAGAATGTGTAGAACTTGGTTTGATTCTCAGCATGCTTGCATTTCAGGCTGTTAGTCACCAAAAAGAACTGAGAGGGAAAGAACAAATTAATAAACAACTAAAATCCAACTGATTTGTTCACAAGCAGTAAAGAATACCTAACTCACTGGGTTGTTGTGTGTATTTACAATTGAGTAACTTTATTATTGGGCCACTAGATCTTGACCTATAGTCTAACCTCCCTGAATCTAAAACCCTACCACAGTTTTTATATTGGTTAAGATATTATTATCCCTATGCTTTATTGCTATACTGATCTTAGCACATGGATGGAGCATCCTCTACATTCTGAGCTTTCTAAACCAAGGCTTTCTCTTCTTGGTTTTTGAACAGTGTGCATGAGACTACATGACATTCTGTGGCATTTGAATTGAATTTGATGATATACAATGCTATTATTTTCATGTCATGCAACCTGAATGCCTTAATGACCTATTGCCATCACTAGAGGCGTCATTAAATGAAAGAAGAAAAAGGAAAATCCTTCACCGTAAACATTTGCAATGTCATTTGACTATATTCATGTCCTTGTCAGGCATGAATCGCCTTACTGGAGAAGCCTTGCAGCTACCAGCATACAAGTGGCTTGGAGATACAGGAAGAAACGTCAATCCATTCATTTGTCAGGATAGTTAGGTTTACACACATAAAGCTAGAGACCCCAAGGTTCCATTTTTGCATGCAAGTGGTAGAAATAATACACAGTAGATCATGTTCATTATGTATTCTAGCTGTATCCATAGATGTTAGTGTTGTTATGCAATGTAATACAAGAAACTAGGAAACAGGCGACAGGGACTTGAGATCTGAGGCTAAACAGTTGGGATGTAAGTTTTCTGTTGTATAAAATGAAAACCAAAGATGGTGAATGAAATTAATATTGGACCATCTGTTTGAATATATATCAGCAAATGTATTAAAGTGTTGTAAAAGCGGCCACCGGGGGGCGACCTGCCTTCCCCGTTAGGTTAACCTACTGCTATAACTATCAATATATGACATTATTTATGGTAATTATGAACTAGATGGACGTGTATGCGTATTGGGTTGCTTCGAGTACATGTTTACTAAAATTATAAATAACCTCCTCACCTAATTTATTAAACATTTCTACTTCTAATAGCTTATTCTCTGACTTTACTTGAAAAATGGACAGGGTCTCGCTGTCTAAGTGTCCAACTTCTTTGGAAAAAGAAAAAAAAAAAAAAAACCCACAAAAAATTCATCTCATTCATTAACTAAAACAACAAATATAAATAGCTAGATATCATGAATGAATGGTGCTCGCTTATTAAATTAAATTTAAGTAATCTAGTATAAATTGAAAGGAATTGATTAGGGAAAGTTAAATATGAATGTCATTCTCAAATGATTGATTTAAGATTTTTACATGTACATGAGCTATACTAGAGCTTGGATTGTATGTTAGACATTAAGTGCAAGAACGAACATGTTTAAGCATTGAAACGCCATTTAAACAATATCTTTTATGAGTCACTTTGTTAATTTCTCCATTATTTATTTATTTATTTATTTTTTTTCTGTGTGTTTGAGGAGAGACTATACAATAAAGAGGTCTTACTCCAACTTTATAGTCTCGTGCTCAAACCTTTCATAAAATTGAAAGCTATAACTTTGGAATCGAACGTTCTGTGGTCACGTTTGCGCTTTGCTAGTAGCTAAAATAGTAGTTATTTTTTAGTCAATCTTAAAAAATAAGGTAAAATTTCAAAACTTTTTCCAAAAGTTAGGAATAAATAACTAAAAATCTATTTAGTATTGTTTTGAATTTTACTTTTTGATTTTTATTTTCTATATATTTAGTAACTATTATTGTATTAAGAAATATAAATTTATTATAAAAATTATAGTTTATTAAAATTTAATCTAGATATTGTAGTAGTTACTACTTTCTTCGTCTAAAAATAACTTGAATTTGAATTTATTTCAAATTAACTATTATTTTTTATTTTTTAAACTAGATAAATATTTTTTTTACTCTAACTTTATCATTCTTTATTCATTTTAATTAATCATTTTATTACATAAAAAGTCTCTCAATATCATTTTATACTAAATTGAGAGATGAGTAATAAATATGTACTACCTCCTTTTTTTTTTTTTGGAGGAATATGTATTCCTTGATTTCTCCTTAATTTTTTTTTAAATTAGACATTAAAGATGAACTATTCTTACTTTTGTTGTCCCATAATAATAAATAGTCATTTTTTATGAATAATTTTTTTCTCCTAATTAAATATTCAATGATTTATGTTTGTACTTATATTACCTTTAATGAAGTGATAAAAAATAAAAAGGGACCTTTTATGATGGATAAATAATTAAAGTTAATGAAAGTTAATGGATAAGGGTATGATTAAAAAAAAACTCCATTATAATGAAAAAAATAATAATTAATTTAGAATAAATTTAAATATAAAAATAACAATTATTTTTTAATAGAAAGAGTACCTTCCTAAAGAAGTTTCTCATTTTTTTTCTCTTATTTTTATAATTTGAGCATGAAAGTCCATTACCTTTAGCCAAACATGCTTTGGTTTTTATAAGTAAATTTCTTCATAGATAGAAATTTATCAAATTTTCAAAGTTTCTCCTAAGTCCTAACCATTTTACATAATGTTACGCTTTTCTGCCTGGGGCTGGGGTGGAAGAATTAGACAAAATTTTTGCAAAATATCTCATCAAGCAAAATAAATTTTAAATATAGCCATGCTTTTTCAATAATTTGAGTTATTTAATAATAATATCATTTTAGAAGAAATAAAAAAAATTAAATTTAAATCATATAACATTCAAATAAATTAATCTATGAGGTGAACTTAACACCAAAAAAAAAAAAATAGAGATCACATGGTAGGTTGAAATGTTAAAATCATTCCTATTAGTTATTTGCCTAAGTTGAAATTATTCTATTATTTACAAAAAAAAAAAAAAAGAAATAAGGAGAAGATGCTTATTTACAAAATAAATAAATAAATAAATAAAATAAGAAGGTGAGCAACACCCCCACACCCAACCACAGCGCCTGCACCTGCAAGTACAATGGGGAGGGACAGAGGGGGAGAGGGGGAGTGAAGTTAGTTGGAGCATCGGATGAGATTAATGAGTTGGGGCCCACATTTCTTAATTAATAACTTTGCTGCTTCCACCAGACCAGTGCCACATAAGCCTTAAAGAACCCTCAGTGTGGGACCTACCAGCATTAGGGGGGTTTGGTTGATTTAAAATAAATATTGGTTAAACCATATCTAAAGTCCCTGGACTGAACAAAATTTTTGCACATGAGCTTCTTGAATGTCTTTTAGGTAAATAAATCCCTAAACTGAGTAGGAGCATCTTTCTCTCCATTAGCTTGCAATTTATATTTTATACAAGAAAAAGCCAAGTTATCCTTTTTTACTCATTGATAGACTAAAACCTCTAAAAAACTAGTTGATTTGGAATCTTGGATTGTTTTGTATCTAAATTTCTCTAGTTTTGGCACTTGGTGATGATTTGTAACATGTTTATGTTTTCAAATTGAGCTTGAGGAGAACTACTATTGTTGATGACCAAAGTTGTGCCTTTGAAGTTGTGCCTTTGAAGTTGAAGAAGTCATGCCATGAAATTGAAGCAAAATGATGTGGCATCTCTTCAATTAGTTAATATGAGGAAAACAATTATTTTTGTTATTGGTTTAGATTCTCAAACTAATAATGGAATTAGTAGTTCGTTCATATTTTTTATTCTCTCAAGACAATTATTTTAAATTACTTTTATTTTGATTTTTTTAATTTTCTGGCAAAATAATTAAAGTTTGGTGACTAATTTTACGTCAAAATTAATTTAAATGTTAAATTATAATTAACTGTCTTAATTTTCTTTTCTTTTCTTTTTGTGTTCTTTATTTGGATTTGGACAATTACATTGTTTATGTGTCATCTTTAGTGTATTTTGAGACTAATCCTTCCTTAAACAATTTTAAGGAACCTTCTTATATCGATTAGGTGTATTTAAGAAAATTAATTTTGTTATTTTAATATTTAAACCTTAAACTTAACTTATATAATAATACTTAATTATTAATGAATCAAACCCCTAAGATTAACCTCATTTACTTTGTTGCGTTAAGCATGATACTATCAATACAGAGCGCATTTGCACAATCAAACTAGTTGAGAGGTTTATTTGCCTAAAAAGAAGATAAGGGACTTATTTGTGTAAAAAATAGTTAGGGGGTTTATGAGTGAAAATGGGACGAGTTCAGGGCTAAGAAGATGGTTTTTGGCTACATAACTTCTGGGCTTTAACTAATGATGTTAGGTACGGTCTCTTCTCTTTAGCAAAAACAAAACATAAAACCGGGGAAAAAGACAAACCCCGGGGCTTTTCCCTCAGACCTTGGACTTCAAATAACAATAAACAAATACACAGAGAGAATTTTTTAAAAGATGTAGAAATGCATGGGATATAGGACCAACCCTACCCTCATGGGCTACATAATTTTGTTTGGTTGAGAAATTTGTAAATTTTTGTATAAAATTAGAATTTTTTTGGCTGACTTTTATAAATTTATTAGAATAGAATTAAGAAAATTTGACCATTTAA